GGATGTGATATTTGGGTTTGTTTGAGTGATTTGTTCCTTGTGTTCTTGAGTGTTCTTCCTCTTTCCCCTCCAGTGTGAAAAGATCCTCTCTAGGGTTTCACCCTACAACAGGTGTGGTAATGCCTCCTCAGTCCTCACCACTAATTGCACCACGGGCCTCGGCTAAATATGCTAATATGTGACATTGCTTTGTTTCTTTTTGATAATTTCCTAAACTTTCAAATGCATTTAATATGGGTGCCGCTACGCGTCTTTCGGCGGATGTATTAGAAACATCCGCCGCATGGAGCACCGTTGGATGAACACCATGACAGCCATCTGATCTAATCATCGCACGCGTGTAACCATCTCCCTACTTCCTGCAACAGCCGCTTAGTTTCGGAAACAGAATCCCCTCTCCGTCGTCCTTCCACAGCTCCGCCCAGCGTGACGGCAGTCGCCGCCACCGCAAAATCGCTGCCGCCGGCGCGCCGGGGAACTAGTCCTTGCCGTGCTCGCCGGAGTTGCTGCTCCTCTTCCGTATCAGCCCTGCGAGCAGCTGCTAACTCCAATCGAGCACGACGGCGGCGACCTCTCACGCCCGACGCTTCTTCGGTGTTTTCTGCAACCGGAGCTATACTTCTGAAACATGCCTCATGTTACAATGTCTGACCACTCACTCTCTAACGTCGGGCGCTCTTGCGACGCTGCAACTCAGCCTATGTTTCTAAAACAAGACCCCTGTTGCAGGAAAAAACCTTCACAACCGAAACATTTCTTATCTTTCTGAAACAAAAGAATGTTGCAGAAATCTTTTGAAATAAGACCCCTGTTGCAGAAAAAAAAGACTTCACCCCCGAATTTTTTTCTTTCTTTCCGAAACTAGTCCTGTGTTGCATAAATCTACTGAAACAAGACCCTTGTTGTAAGAAAACGACTCATCGCGCGGGACTGCCTTATGGCCAGCCTGGCTGCTTGATAAGGATTGATCTGACGGCTACACAAGCGGCGGACGCTCGCGCACATCAGCCGGTTGAAGGTAAGCTTTTTCCATTTAATATGGAGTTTCATTGGATCTTTGGTATTAACGGGAAATTCAGTCGAGTTGCTCGGTCCTCCTTGGAGTGGGCCCGCAGGTTCCTGAATCGTGGCTCGGTCCTCGTTTTCCCCTTGGCCAGTTTCTACAGTTCTCCTCGGCCGCGCCGTCGTGTCCTCCGATGACGCCGCCGGCGCCGCCGGTTTCCCCCTTCGTTTCCACGGAAGCCGCGCGGCCTGCTCCCGTGTCAGAGCTACGAGAGGGCCATCTCCTTAACCAGATATACCCGAGGGCGCCTCGCCTCGTCGTCCTCACCTGCAAACCCCACGGGCGGGGAGAAGATGCGACTCACGTTGCCCTTGCTCGCTCGCAGCCGCCGCCCTCCTCCACGCTGGTTTCAAACTTCCCGATCCTTTTATCTCGAAAATCCATTTGCAAGTTGAAATCCCCAAATAGTACGTTTGATCGAGAAAATCCCCAAATATGGCGTGCGTTTGTGCAACTGTAGATTTGCCGTGCTAACGAAATACTGGTCTGAATTGTTTGCGTAATCGGATGATTCAATCCTGGAGATGGACTGACTGACGCATCTGGACAGCTGGTTGGCTTTGTGTTAGCGAGCAACCACACCCGCGTACACAGTCAGTCACCAGTCATCACCTTACTCACGACAGCAGAGGGTGTGTGGCTGCAGAACACTACACAATTTATGATTTGATATTTCTCCAACACAATTCCAAGTCTGAAGTCTCTAGTCAGGTCTTCGTTTGCAATGACAGTGACATGATTTGATCCGTGTGCACTCTAGCTACTTCTTCTAAAGCCAATACATAGAGCACCCTTCAACTTAGCATTTTCTTATCAACACTGTAAGCCACTACAATGGCGCTGCAGAAACTCTTCTATATCTCACTTTTCCTGCTAGTATGCACAGCCAAGGAGATCAACCCCGAAGCGGAGGCACTACTCCGATGGAAGTCCAGTTTGATCCGTGCCAACTCGCTGTCCTCCTGGTCGATATCCTATCCGACATGTTCTTGGTTTGGGGTCACTTGTGATGCTTCAGGGCATGTTACCGAGCTCCGCCTTCCCATCGCGAGCCTTCATGGTACGCTACACACCTTATACTCTCCAGTGCTCCAAAACCTCACTGTGCTTGACCTTGGCACAAATAACCTTGGTGGTGTTGTCCCAGCAAATATCTCTCTATTTCACACCCTCACCGTTCTGAACTTGAGCAACAACAATCTTGTTGGTGCCATCCCCTATCAACTCAGCAAGCTACCAATGATTATCAAATTGGATTTGGGAAATAACAACCTGACCAACCCAGAATATGCCAATTTCTCACCGATGTCCACTTTAAAGCTGTTATCTTAGCTAATAACGATCTCAGTGGTACCTTCCCACAATTCATTCTCAACTGCACCCATCCGAGGATGAGGTTCCTCGATTTATCAGGTAACGCCTTCTCCGGGCCATTACCAGATTCACTCCAGAGATTGTCCCAAGGTTGAGGTATCTAAATCTGTCCGCTAATTTATTCTCTGGCTCCATACCTTGCTCACTCTCAAGGCTCCAAAAGCTAGAGATACTATGTCTCGGGAGAAATAATCTCACAGGAGGAATCCCAGAGGTGTTGGGGATGATACCTGGACTCCGAACCCTTATACTATACAGTAACCCACTTGGTGGATCAATCCCAGCCTCACTCGGGCAGCTTCAGTTGCTGGAGACGCTCGGCATCGGAAATGCTAGCTTGGTTTCTACTCTTCCGCCCCAGCTGGGGAACCTTACCAGTCTCAAGATCATGGTACTGAACGAGAATCATTTATTCGGAACTTTGCCACCATCATTTGCCAGGATGCAGGAATTGCAAGAATTTGTAATAGAGGAGAACAGTATCAGTGGTACCATTCCACAAGAGATGTTTACAAACTGGACCAAGCTCAAGTACTTTGATGTAAATCACAACTTGTTAGCTGGAAGCATCCCTTCTCAGATCAGCGAGTGGAAGGAGCTACTGTGTCTCCTCCTCTCCCACAACAACTTTACTGGCTCGATCCCAGTGGAGCTGGGAAGCATGCCAAACTTGCAAGCATTGGACTTGTCGAATAACCACCTTACTGGAATTATGCCATCAAATATCGGTAATGCATCATCTTTGAAACTCCTTGGCGTCAGCTTCAACCATCTTGAGGGTGAGATTCCTGCGACCATCTCCTCGCTGGTAAACCTTGTTGCTCTCTTCTTGTCTGACAACAAGTTTACGGGTATCGGTCCTAATCTTGACAGCAAGCAGTTGCCAGTTGTCAAAGTGGCCAATAATAGTGGCTTCTTGGGAAAACCATTGTGTGCCTTTTGCCAACTAACACTTCTGCGAATCTTGGATCTATCGAACAATCAGTTGTTTGGTGAGCTTCCTGGTTGCTTGTGGAATTTGAGAGATCTACAATTCTTGGATTTGTCGAGCAATGCTTTTGCTGGGGTAGTTCCAACCTCAGCTAACTACAATTCTTCGCTAAGTTTGTTGCACTTGTCCAACAACAATTTCACAGGTTCCTTTCCAGCAGTGTTGAAGAACTTCAAAAGCCTTGTTATTTTGGATCTTGGGAACAATAAGATGTCTGGTGCACTCCCTCCGTGGATAGGAGAAAGCAATCCTTTGCTGAGGATTCTTAGACTGCGATCAAACATGTTCCATGGAAGTATTCCCAGGCAGCTACTAAAACTCTCTCATCTCCAACTCCTTGATCTCGCTGAAAATACTTTTGTAGGTTCTATAACAGAAAATTTTATCAACTTCTCCTCGATGAGTCAGGCATCCATGATGCAGCCGGTTCCAACAACTTACATAGAATTGAGACCCTTCCGATTTGCTGGTGATGGCAGCATAGGTATACTTTGGAAGAGACGGGAGTACACCTTTGACGAAAGATATCTATTTGTGACTGGCATTGATCTCTCCGGCAATTCTCTCTCTGGTGAAATCCCTTCAGAGTTGAAAAATCTTAGAGGCGTCCAGTTACTAAATATGTCAAGAAATAATCTATCTGGTGGTATCCCGAAGGACATTGGCAATCTCAAACTGTTAGAATCCCTTGACCTCTCATGGAATAAACTGTCTGGTCCTATTCCTCCTAGCATGTCGAACTTGAAGTTCCTGAGCTCTCTTAACCTCTCAAACAACCGTCTATCAGGCGAGATACCTACAGGAAGTCAGCTCCAGACACTTGAGGACCCATCGATCTATAGCAATAACCTCAGACTTTGTGGTCCACCATTGAGCATTCCATGTACAAACAATTCAGATACTACGACACCAGCGGATGGGGCAAAGGAACATCACCATGAACTTGAAACATTATGGCTCTACTACTCAGTGATTGCTGGAACTATTTTCGGTTTTTGGGTATGGTGTGGAGCACTGTTTTTCTGCAAGATCTGGAGGTTTGCTTTCTTCAGCTGCGTCGATGCGCTGCACCAAAAGTTTATACTGAAGATGAAGCGCACCTGACAAGTAGGGCACTCTGCTTTGTCCTAGCGCCTCATTGTGTTTCCTGAAGTTTCCTCATGCTTGCAGTATTTGCAATGGACGTATATGTATTGTCCATGACTCTGCTATATGTTTCTTTAAGTTGTAATAGTAATGATCAGTTGCTATCTGACCAGAGGTGGCTTATATTTGTTGTCTATTTGATGAGACAATTTCATACACTTGTAATAGGTATTACTCTCTGAATTTTGTGAGTCGCAGTTATATATGTTTCGTCATTGCTACTTATATATCTTCCGAGTACATATGAGTACATCTTCAATCTTGTACCTCGTGCATTGTTCACACTAACCTGCAGACTCAGTTATTCTACCACCATTCTCAACAAAAATATGATCCAAATAACACTGGTTACAGATGACCAAAGAATAAGAGCAAAACCACAGCATCCACCAACAGTTTGAAGGGAAAGTAACCCTCGCTGCGCATCTAGCTGTTGACGACGGCGCAGTGCTTCCTGATCTCCCCCTGAGAGCCGGTCTTGACCTGCACGGCGCCCAGCCTCGCCATGGACCGCGCGAACACCTGGAAGAACACCTCCGGCGGGCTTGACACGACGCCGGCGATGTCGGCCCGCGCCGCGGGGTCGGTGACCAGCGCGGCGTCGGACCGGAACAGGGCCCTGTGCTTGAGCACAGTGTGGTAGTAGCCGAGGTCGAACGTCAGGAAGCTGCCGGGGTCCATCTCCACGGCGGCGTCGCGGCCGCCCATCCTGCACTTGCGCTGCCGCAGGTTGGCCGCGTAGGCGGCGTCGAGGGGCGGGACGGCCCCGGTGCCGTTGCCGGCGGTGGGGTAGCTGTAGAGGCGGTCGGCGAAGGACGAGCAGTGGGCGATGCCGATGGTGTGCGCACCTGCGCGGTTGCACCTCAGGCCCGATTCAGAGACACGTTCGACCATGCAAGAATTCAGTGCTTGTTCCTCTGTAAATTTTTCCTTTTCATGTACTCGCTAAACTGAACTTCAGTGGGCTTATATTGTAACATTATTTTTGAAGAACTTTTTTTTGGTAAAGTTAGTGTGGGAAAAAGAGATGGTTTCTGTTGGATTCTCAGCACATCATTGGTAATTGGTAAAGTCTAGTTCGACACGTGCAGTTTCCTACATGGTTCGGAAAAAAAGTCTAGGTCGATGGTTGGGGCTAAATGATAAAGTATGGAATAGGAGACAGGATATAAAGTAAAGGCTATTATCGGTTTGGACTTGATTGATAATACAGGTGAAGTAGACATGTAAGCATAAGCATGAGCTTGCCATCGTCAGAAATGGATGCCGTTCATAAAGCAAGCATCAGTGACTCCAATGGCTTCCAAAACTAGAGGAAGCAAAACGATGGGTTTACATTTTACTGAAGTCTGGAAAGTGACTGATTCGGTGTGGCAGCTGGTGCTCAGAAACTACGGTTGTTGGTGAAGGAATATCAGCCCATCTGGCTTGAGGCCGACAGATAAAGCAACGATTCTTCGTGCTGCTTTGCGATGCCCGATCGGCACACAAAGAATGGGCGATAACTGACAGCCTTTCGTCGTGTCGGTGGCTACCGCTTCTCAGATAATTTGGGGTCGTTTGCCTCTGTTCAATCTTTTTAGCAGATGTTTAGTTTAGTAATCCGTGCGATCAGACTACGTACTACATGCATGCAGAGCTGGTTGGTTAGTGTAAGTGGCATGTGATTATTAAGCTGGTGTAGTGTGTGTATGCTGGGGACGGACCTGACAGCCAGACGAGGTCGCGCACGTCGAGGCCCTTGCCGGCGAAGAGGGCGACGAGCTGCGGGAAGGTCATGGACGGCGACGGCAGCTCGCGGACCGCCTCCTGCATGGTCGACACCGTGCCGTCCCTCCTCCCCGTCGGCACGCGCCACGACGGCCCGCCCTGCACCGGAGACCGTGTACACGTCAGTGGCGGCTACGGACAGATGACCAGATGGCGTACGTGAGCTGGGCTAAGCGCGGCGTACAATGGCGGCGACGGCGTCCCGGGCGGCGAGCGCGAGGACGTCGGCGCAGGAGACGACGCCGGGGCAGGCCTCCTCGACGAGGCCCTTGACGCGGTCGATGAGGTCGAACCCCCGCAGCGTCAGGTTCGGCGGAGCGTCCTTCTCCGCCGCGCCGGCGGCGGTGGAGTTGAGCAGGATGGAGCCGTCGCAGCCCTGCATGCATGCACCGACGCGGCGGTAAGTAAATTTGCGTGCAGCATTTGCGTTGAGTAACCCGCACGTATGGAATGGTCGTATGCACGTGCGTGCGTACCCTGACGAAGCAGTCGTGGTAGTGCGTCCGGAGCAGCGCGGGCGCGACGGTGGGCACGCGCCGGACGTGCAGCCGGACGTAGTCGCCCACGATCCGCTCCGCCGCCGGGCAGCTCTTGGCGTAGAACCCCATCCTCAGCTGCTGCGGCTGCTGCCGCCGCCCGCCGCGCACGCCGGCCGCGCCTGCGCCGGCACCGACGAGCATAACGGCCACGGCCATGGCACCGACGAGGAGCATCACCGGCAACGGCACGGCGGCGGCCATGGCGCGTCTGCCTGGTGATCGCCGCTCACTCTGTTCGCTGGTACTCTGGTCGACTCTCTGAAGTGGTATGTAGCGACAGAGGTGCAGTAGAGTAGAGCAGGGTCGGTATGCCGGTCGACGCTCGACTTGGGCTGCGTTATATACGCATGGCAGTGGAGGCAGCAGTACATCTGCGGGTATCGTTGTGTAGGCCCCTGGCTTACTTGGGAGTGAAACCAGCGGCGTGAGGCCAAGCGTGGCGGCACTGTGCATTGCTACACATGCACTCGAGCCAATGAGATGCCAACCTCTTTTTATCTCTTATAATTTCTTTTCGAGAAAACCACAACTCGCACATTGGCTCACACGACGCATGTTGCACAACTTGCACAGCTTAATAATTTGGATTTGGATGCGCCTCGTTATCATTATTATTATTATTTTAACATGGTACAGTCGAAATCGCTCACATACACGAGCATACTACATTCACCCTATAAACGCACGCACGCTCACCCCACTTCTATAAGCATCACGCTCACCCTATCTCTATAAGCATCTTCGAGAGACTTAGCCGGCATAGAGAAGCTATCACAGGCGCCTCGTCTCCTCCGACTGAATAAACATCACCGAAAAGTTTGAAATAAATCAAGAAAAATGCGAGCATCAATGAAAATCTAAGACTTGAATCTTGATAGGCTGGTGATACCACTATCCTCCTAATCGTACGACTATAGATTGGTTTGCGCCACATTATCATTACTGTATGGTTTATCCTAACCTTGGAATACAAGGAAATTCGAACTTGCCTCCATAGCAGGGGGTTGGAACAAACCTCGGAGCAATGTCTACTAACCATCCAAATCACGATTCTCGTATAATGTATTTAGATTAGAAAATTTAATTTAATATGCTCAAATTATTCAAGATCACACACACTGAAGCTAAGCATCAACTCCTGCAATCGCCGCACGCCTAGAGCGGCCAGCCATCCTAAACACAACGAAAGCTACTCCCTCCATACCAAAATGTTATATGTATTCTGTTTTCGTTACGACTATTCTTTCATTAACAACCTTTCTACGAGAACTTGGTTCATGTTTATCGAAGATTGATGCAACATTAGCTTCATTATTTAAACATGGACGCATATTGCATGCAATTCTGAATTTCTATCTTTCACATGACAGCTTTGCTACTGAGACTTCGTTATGTCTCAGTCGATGCTATATTCCGTAGATCATGCATTGAGATCCGTACATGTTTTTTCTTTTTCTTTCTTATATATATGTCACTTGACTGAGACCTAGCCACACCCTTCACATAATAATCGAGTGACTGTTGGTCAAAAACTTTGCCTTAATTCACTAAAAATATGATTGATCAATTGTGATCGTGTAAATTAAGGACCCCTCTGAAGACCAAGATATGTTTGTGGCTATGCTTGAAAACAGGGGTTGACCTTCCTTGGTCATAAGGAAGCAGTTGATGACCTGTCGTTTGGTTGTACTCTAGCCCAACTGATTTTGCCGGTGGTGATGTGTGCTTTGATCTCTCTAGACCCCCTGATATAGAGTTGGAACGACCTTGAAATCAAGTTTTTTTTTAATGTTTTTTGTTTTGTTTTTGGCATCTGTATCAATCTTAACGGGTAGAACATTTTGCGGAAAGAAGAAGAAATCTTGAGGAAGGTATGTCGAAGATGAAGATGGTGGTTCGCGAGCCATACGCTCCCTTACCTGGCCTGTGCCTTGCTGGGTTTTGATTCCCTGCCCGTGATCAAGGGGAAGCATGCATGCGGGCGCACAGTGGTGGCGCACCGAAGGCGCCGCGTGCGATCCGAGGCAGTTTCTAGACCCCAGCCATGCAGCATGCGTCCGTCACGTACGCCAGTACGAGATTCCCACGGGCGGCCAATCATGTGAGGAAAAGGGGAGAAGCGAGACGCGATGCGGCCCGGGCGCGCACCATGGGCACCAGCCACCAGGCCACCACCGTACCACCGTAGATCGCCGTGCGCCGGCCTGCAAGAAGCGTGTGCGGCAGAGATCTCCATGTCCTCCGGATCCGCGTGCCCTCCCCATTTCTTTCGCTCCCTTCTGCTTCCTTTCCATGTCTCCGCTGATGGATCGATCTCGCTTTCCACGGCGATGATTGACGCATCATGCCAATCCCGGCGTCCACGTCGAGGGGGATGCCGGATGCGAGCGTGGATGGGGCCAACGGCGGATGGAAGAAAATGCAAGGAAAGAACATATGCTTTCCTGCCCTCGCCCCAAAGCTCACGCCCGGGGCTGAAGCTTCCTCCCTCGCAAAGGCTTCGTTCAGACTTTTACTTTTATGGTTCTTGGGCTCTCTAGGCACTTTCACCGACCACCTAGACCTACCTCGTGGTTGAAGCGCATCAACGAGGCCGTGTTGCTGTTCGGCATGTTGCGGAAATCATAGTGTTAACGTTAAGATGCGTCAGCCAGGTGATGCATGGGTTGGATCGGCCGTCTCGGTAGCCGTTGGATGACGCGTGCGACGGTCGCCTGATTTTCGCCCGCGTCAGCTGCGGCAACACGAGTTGTTACGGGCCGTTAGCCAGTCAGTTCGATCGGCCGTAGCAAATATTACACACGTAGACCATGTTGCGGTCATCCATTGCAGTATGGACCATGTTGCGCTCACCTTCAGAGCTTGCATGACGTGGTCACTTATTGCAACATGGATGTTACGGTCACCCTCGGCAACATGGACCCTGTGCTTGTCAATAGGGACACGGTCTTGCATGGCCAGCAACGGCGCCCACGATGTAGACGACCTTGCAGAGCACCACCATCAGGCCTCGCACCAGTGTCGATGGCGACCTTTGTTGCAACGCCGCCTGCCTCTACAGCAAAGTTCTTAGACAGGGAGCACGGGCATCCCCCTGTTGAATGAGAGCACGATGACGGGAGCAATCACGTGTCGTATGCCAGAGCGGGGAGAGGGGGGGAGGGAGTACGCCATAAGATAGAGACGAGCGATGGGATAAGATTTCATAAAGGTTTCATTGTATGTCCACCCACTTTCACGTTGCCTGCCCGATCGGTTGAAACGAAGTGTTTCCCTAATATCAATTACTGTCACCTACATTTTGAGCTGGATTGCTGAACAAGCTTCACTTGGGTGGGGAAAAAGGGGATGAAGAGTGAGCTCATCAAAAGCAAAGATGTCCCTCTTGCAAGTTCTGTTTTACTCCCTCCGTCCGTGAATAAGTGTACATCTAGATTTTGTCCTAAGTTAAAGTTTTAAAACTTTGACCAACTTTATAGAGAAAAATAACAGCATTTATGACACTAAATTAGTATCACTGGATTCGTTTTGAAATGTAGTTTCATAATGACCAATTTGATGTCATATATGCTACTATTCTTTTCTATAAAGTTGGTCAAAATTTTAAAACTTTGACTTAGCACAAAAGCTGGATGTACACTTATTCACGGACGGAGGGAGTAAAGTTATAAGCCTCTCTAGCAAGCAAAACGAACATCTTGGATGACTTGCTCGGAGGAGAAATGGATGAAGAATTTCGTATTTATATTGTCCATCCGAAGGATATTGGTTACTAGCCCCACACTCATGGGAAATACCGTTTCATTCCTAGATGTATAAGCATCTGACGTGAGAAAAGAATCTGATTTTTTTCTAAAAAATTATTGACCTTCTATTGTACTCGTATGGAATTTTCACAAAGAAAAAAAATCCCGTCGACTTCAGGCAAAAAACAAAAACTAAGGATAAAAAATGGGGAAACTCTTACCATCACCCGGTGGATCGCAGCGGCGCGTCCGCCACCTCCCCTGTGTTACACGTGTTCAAGTGAGACCCCGCACTCAAACGCACTTTTGCAACAAAAGCTATGTTTCTGAAACATATATAGTGTTGCAATGGTCTACGACGAATCTACGTTTTGTAACAAAACTTCTCTTATAAAAATTTTCTACAATAAGACCTTGATTGCAGAAAACATTAAACTCAATTGCAAAAAATGCAACAAAACAACTGTTGTAAAAAAATTCTGCAACAAGACCTATGTTGCAGAAATAATTCCGCAACAAGACATATATTGCGGAAATATTTCTGCAAGAAAACCTGTGTTGCAATGGTGGGGCGCACCCGGCCGCTTGATGCGGCATCTGGCGACTCGCGACCCGGCTGATCTATTAAAAAGATTAGCCGGCGAACGCGTAGCACGTCCCTAAAAAATGTGAATAGAAACTTCTATATATAGTGTTGTTTTTGTTTTCTTCCATGAACAATATCATGGAATATTTTTCTTGGCCAAACTATTCATGCGAAGGTCAAGTTTATTTCAGAAAAGTTTCAGAATTTTTTAACTTTCCATACTCATCAGCTATATCTTATACAGTTATATCTTATACAAGTGCATTGTCACGGCTTTTGCTGTCGCCGGGTGGCTTCGGCCCTTCCGTTCTAGCTGTGCAAGCTCTCCGGCGGCTTGATCGCAGTTTTCTTGCTGCCTTATTCTCTGTAGTGAATTTGGCATGTATTTTTCAGTTTTTGTCAAATCTTTGCCTTTGTAATTCAGCACCATTGTATACTAGCCGGTTGATGGCTTCATTAATTTGAAGTCGGGCCTTTGTGCCTTTTCTCTAAAAAAAAGTGCATTGTCAAAGTACAGTACGCAGCCAGGAAATGAGTTAGAATCTCACTAGCATGCATCTGCAAGCTGAGCATAGCTCAGATACAGCTCACCTGGATTCATCGATGTTTGCATTTTTCTGAGTTTATTTTCAGATTTTTTTCTGAGTTTATTTTCAGTTTTTTCAACGATGTCAATCTTAAGATATTTTGTCGGCTAGATGCTCATATGTTGGGGTGTGCGTGCGTGCAGGGGCAATTCTACTGGGGGCTTTAACAGGCTCAAGCCCTCTCCACATATTTGCATGACCCAGACAGCCCAGCCCGCCCTTCATTTTTTTCTAGATTCACCACTACGTGCGTGGATTTATAGGTGTGAGAGGCTCAAGCCC